TAATATATGCTTTATAAACTCATATTAATACTGACATTCATGATTAATTCAGGTAGTTACTAGTCGTTAGTAAAGTGTTTTGTGTGACCTCATCTAAAGTGAGGACTATTTATGCCTTATAAAGCATTTATTAATGACATTGAAAGGCCAGCAGTGCCTCAAAACACACAACACAAAGTGATCAAGAACATATCAATATTTATTGCAAGATGCAAACAATGTACTGTTAAATACAAACCTCTCAGCCATTCATTCACGTAAGAAACAAACAAAGACATTCTCCTTCAGGAGAACATGGCTGGATATAAAACATTTGTAAATGTACGACTGGAGCTAACCAGGAGCTTTGCATATTAGTTTACATTTACTTATTTAATTATTAATTTTAACCGAGCATATCGATCTCCACTGTTCGCACTTTTCTTCAGTTGCATGTCCCATGGGGAATCCATCATTTATAAAGTATGAAAACACAATCATGAAACACATAATAGACCAGCTTATTAATCAAGAATACATAAAGCAGCTTTGACAAAGTACAAGTGTCTTTCACTACAGACTAACACTTCACAGGTGAATTTTATGGGTTTTGTTGTAATAAATACATTAAACTTTGTTAGCATTTCAAGTGTGTTTCCCAAGCCAGGTGATGACACTGTCAGGTCGGCTCTGTTGTTCCTCCAATGTGACAAAATCACACTATCAGATACTTGGATGTCTTTCAGTCTAAAACACCGTTCCCTCCATTGCATCAGAACTGTGTGCTGGTCTCTGATAGAGACACAGATAGACGTAATGGCTGCTGCGTGTTCTCTCCCTCGATGGAGGAATCGCATGTCAGGCTGACATCTCAGTCTGCGTGATTAATACCAGCTCCTCCCTCACTGACTGTGCTGTATTCTGGTGTAGCTGCAGGAAGAATGTTCCATTCACGTTATATTGTATTACTTAATGGTTTAGAAGGCACAATCATTATATGCTGTTACGTGCCATGTTGTTTTTTTCTCTGCTCTCTCTCCCAATTTTCCAGTCAGGTGCCACCCTTCTCCCTGCCTAGCAGCTGCAGTGTGTGAGCGTACGCGGCTGGGCTCAATCCCCGATTAGTGCCATGGTGGTTACGAGGCCAGGAGATTGAGATAGCCCAGCCCGGTAGGCAAAGTGGCAGCGTTCAAACTGTGTGTGTTGATGCGGTGATCTTCTCTGCTCAAGCCATGTATGCTAGTGTTGGTAGCCTGACCAATTGGTGTGTTCATATTTTGGTGTTTTGAGTTCACTATGTGAATTAGTGTCTTTCCTTTCCTTTTTAAGAAAATATTTTCACTATTTAGTTTATTCATCCACTGCCTATGACTCTTTTCCCTGGGTTTATTTACACTGTTACTCCCCTCATCCCCTGGACCTTAATCAGGCAACGTAACACATGCTGATAGAAATATTGGATCATTAAGCAAACAAGTGCTCCTGTTAAGTCCGATTGTAATTGGTGAATGCCATCTTCACTAGTTGGATTATATGTATAGTATAAACCAATCAGTGAATACATCCATATTTACAACGTGATCAAACCATTGACTGACTGTCATCATTACTGTCATCAAGCGCCACTGCTAGCAGGACACAAACAGGTAACTACCGCTAGCTAGTTAGCTATGACGATACATTTGATACTTTTATATTAATGGAATTGACATGGAATACAGGTTTAATAACTCACTTGTCGGGACTTGGAAAGGAAAATCAATATCACTTTAATGTCTGTATATTGGGCTGGAGAAAGAAGACGATTAGCTTAGCTTAGCATAGAGACTGGAGGTATAGGGTGAAGTAGGGTGGAGCCTGGCTGATCCAAGGGGGTAATTAACTTACATATATAACTTTAACTTACGTATATAACTTTAACTTAAGTACATAACTTTAACTTGCATACATAACTTTAACTTAAGTACATAACACAGATACAAACATTGATTTTTTTTCTTTGATTTCAATAAGTAGCTGCCACAGTAATATTAATCAGAATTTCCTCAAGCAGAACCTGTGCGTGTTAATAAAGACTCTCACGATCTGTTCACCTGATATGAGAACCTGGTTTTGCATGACACTTCTACTAAGGGTAGATAGTGTAAAGTGCAGCATTGGGGAATGTTTCCACTTAAACCTCGGTTACCACTTGTAGCGTAGTGTCCACGCGGACGTCCCAACAAATTGCCAGTACGTAGACATCTGCACAGGGCCTATGCATGCACCCTCTGATGACAACATTTATAACACGTGGACTCTATAGCGGACCCTCACGTGGCTGCAGGAAGTAGAACTTTGCTGCATCCGCAAGAGTCATGAGTGTCCGCATGGCCAAAACTACATCAGACACGGCCCTTGGCGGGGGTTCCCTACTGCAGGTTTCCGCCTGTCCGTGCACATCCAACATTTTATAATTACGCAGACGCTGATGGGAGCAGAAAATGTGGAACTTTGAGGAGCTTTGAAAATATTGGTTTGCCGCATGGAGTAACCCGAACGGAGTATAAAATACCCAAACGTTTCCTTAGTCACGATTCCACATCATCTCATGTCTGTGCCACCGTCCTTGTAGTGCTGGGCGGTATGACTAAAGATGTCTATCACGGTATTTTGTAAGATTCTGGCGGTTTCACGGTATATCACTGTATTTTTTTTTCCGTGTTAACGCATTAATTAATTAACACCGAAAACTAACACAAGAACCGGCCGGCTAACTGGCCAGCGAGCGGTGAACAGCTGTTTGTGTGGCGTGTCTTCCGTCACCTCCTGTTTCCTTCACTTCCTGTTTCCTTCACCTACATTCCCCTGGGTCCTAAGTCCCTCCAGGTACAGCTTCTTATCACCCTCTATGTACCAATGTACATTTATAACAAATACCACACATATTACGGTAATCAGCGTTGCATATGTGTCTGACCAAAATACCCAAAAAAGCATCCGAGGACCGTAATCGCATACACTCTTCGTATTCCAACACATGTTTTCGGGCTGAGAGGATGGAGTAAATTGCTAGTGTTGCCACCAGAGGCAATAACAGCGGCTCGACAAACTTTACAATATATCGTCTTTTGATCTACATCGGATTTTTAAAAAACAAAAAACCTCCAAACAGCAGACGCAGCTCCTCTCTTGGGCGCAAATTGTATTGGTGCATCTCCGGTCTCTCTTTTCTGTTCTTTAATGTAGCGACGGAGCTTCTTCTAGCTGTTGGCAGACTGTTGTGCTAGCGGGCTAGCGAGCTGTACCCTGCATGCCATTCGGCGGTGTAATTTTATAAATGTACAATTATTAGTGTCACAAACTGTTGTGTCGTGGTGTTTTGCCCTGTTAAAGAGCATTAGTTGTGGGTTATTAATTGTTATAACCATGATTAGAGGTCCCTCTCAATACACTTAAGATAACTAGCTCAGACCGTAGCGTTCTTAGCGGCGAACAATATATTCTGCTGCCTGTTGAAGAGTGACAGCAGTTGTTTCGGCTGTGTGTGAAAAATTTATATCATACGAGAAATTAAAACCGGTATAGACTACATCCTTGTACTCGGAAAAATGCTTCCAGTGCACATTGGTATCTTGGCCAAAACGTGCTAGAGCCACATTGCAGTCAGAGCTCAACCTAGCCGCATCCAGTGGACACAGCGGACATGTTTCAGTCGTCTCATGGGTATCTGGCGTAAAAGATAAGCTTCAGCTGCCTTGTTACGGATTGCGTTTTGCACCCTCAACTGCAAACCAAAGTACCTTCCTTCCAACTTACTGTGACAATGTATTAGGCTGAGTCACAGTAAAACCTGTCTGAGTACCGCACGACAACACTGGCTGAAGAGGTCGATGGGTGTAGATGCTGATGGAGGTCTGCAGCTGCTTTCACTACGCGACTGGTGAAGACAAGCCGTAGACAGACCCTGTACTGTCATTGAATTCACAAGGTTCTAGTACAGATAGGTCTTTATTCATTACACGACTACTTCCATCATGTTTTGTGTGATTATGACTTCAAGATCATTATCCCCAGTATTTGAATGATCACCACGCTACTCTTTCTCTACAATGACTTCAAGCTCACTGACGCCTTCAGAGCCTTGCCATCTTCAAAGGCCTGCTATACCACAGGGGGCCTGCAGACTCCCAGGTCAGAAACAAACCTACAACAAAGACACAGTATATCTTTAAACATGTCCTGTTTTATGTTTTTCTTTTACAACCAAACCAATTATTGGTCTAAAATACCTCAGGGTGTGGTAGGTATGGGGATATCACTGAAGGAACACATTAAAGCTGACAGTGTGAAGAAACAGTCTTCCCCTATAGAGGATGTCATTCAGTGGTGAGGCTGTGGAGGATCAATTTCTCCTGTGCAACAGATTGTTCTAATAAGAGCTGTGCTGGAGAGTAGCAGGAGGGGAGGGGGACTGGTGCTTCTGTGCCCAGAAGCTGTGCACATATGCAAGGGCTACTACAGCGACATCTATGCTATAATGCCATCCTTCAGCTGCTCCTTTATGTTGCCAACCATGTCTCTCTTTACTTTGGATTTAGCACATTTCATGGTGTCTTTTTAAACCTTTCTGGCATCAACATTCCAGGGTGTCGGGTAGAGGGAGTGAAGAAATATATTTTCAATCAAAAGAGACATCAAGGGGAAATGTGCTGCTGATGCTTTACGTACAGTGAGGTGGTGTAACTATCATTTCACACAGCACTCCATCCATCGCAGTCCACTACCTTCTCTAATAAAAGTGTTTAGGTTTGGATCATCATGTGTGAAACAAATGAAATGTGTGAAATATCCTACTGGCTATAAGGTGAACTGAGTTATATTTCTGCATTCTTAAATATTCGACCAAAAGGCGAGCAGCGACACAAGGTGCGACTGTGGAAGCAACAGTTGGTGTCATGTGTCTCAGTGTTGCCCTCCAGAAATGGACGATGTATTTAAAACACGGGTTTTAAGTTTCTCGTTCGTCAGACGGATCTTACCTTCTGCTGCCTCCTCGCCATGTCAGTAGGTTGCTTTGCGTTGAACGGATAGGCGATACAGCGCATCACAAACACATACAGCTGGAGTCTCTTCTTCCTCTCCTCCTCCTCTCTCTGCATCTTCTCCAGGTCCTCCTTCTCCTTGTCGCTGCCCACCGACGGGCTGGGGCTGGAGGGTCGGCCGCCGCCGCCGCCGCCGCCACCGCTCCCTCGGCCCCGGGGCTGGAGCCCACCGTCGGAGGATCGACCCGGTGACAACCGGGCTCCTCCGAGGCTCTTCGGGGCCGTCACCTCTTTGCGCTCCACCTCCACTATCTCATCCCCTTCCTCTTCGCTCGAAGACGGGTCCAACATGCTGGCCGAGGCTTGGGTGGAGAATAACGGCTACCTGCTGCTGCAAAGGTAAAACTGCAAAAGTAGAAAAAGATGCCGATCAGCTTCAGAGCCAGCCACAGAGGGAGAGACCGGGGGGAAGCAGCTGTGGAGACGCAAAACCGGACTGACGAGCAGCTCTGAAGAAGAAGAAAAGCTGCCGTCAGACGACTCAGTCGCAGCCAGAAAAAAAAGGAAAGTGTTGTAGAGTCTGGTTGGTTGCGTGATTTCCAAACCTTTCACGTGAAGCAGTGACACATAGGAGGGGTTTATCACGAGAGCCGATGTTAAGGGGGAGGGGTTGCCAGGAGGGACAACAGGGGGAAACTGTGTTGGTGCTCCGCCGCCTGGGGACAGGAAGAGGCTGGGCTCGGAGCTGACCGCGGTGCTGAAACCCGACCCCCGGCTGATCTGGGACCAGTTTGATCAGGCTGCGAGCACAATAGATGAACGGCCACCTGATGATCCATCTGAGTCAAAAGACGGCAGGCTACAGCACCAGACCGGAATCAACGCGGTTTAACTTTCACAATAAAAGCTTCACCGCTGATTTAATATAAATATATGATCAAGTGAATGATGACTTAATGATTGGAAATATGTCTTGATATCTGCCTGTCTGGCTGCTTACTTATACGTAACAGGGGACATAAACTACAGAATTACCTGAATAGCAGACATTTGCAAAAAGAAAAGCAAAAGAAATGCATTCAAAAGAAATTACAAAATGAAAAAGGCTTCCGAATATATATGTATTGAGGACATCTATGATATTTTGATAGACTTCATCTGATTCAACATAGGTATGAGTCCTAAATCCAGCCCCATACCATCCATCAGGATGTAGAGCTCTCATTATTTTTCATGTTTCACCATTTGTAAAGCTAAATATCAATCAACAGAATACATGAATCCAACACACCAAACACTACAATCTTTCTGTATATATGGGGGCGACTGTGGCTAAGTGGATAGCAGGGCTGTCATTCAATCGGCAGTCGGCGGTTCAATCCCCGGCTCCGGCTCTGCTAGTCGCATGTCAATGTGTCCTTGAGTAAGACACTTAACCCCAAAATTGTTCCCGTAGCTGTGCCTACGGTGTAGAAATGTGATAGACTCTGAATTGTAAGTCGCTTTGGATAAAAGTGTCTGCTAAATGACTGCAATATAATATGGATGTAGTCAGTCAATTAGTTAGGCTATTTCTAAGCGCATCCCCCACAAGACACATCCATATGTCAAAGATTCCTACACACTGCAAGTTACAGTTTTTCTATGATTGCTTAAGCACGATTTTCAAAACAGGGTTCGTTGTGTCAACACACTACACACGATTCTATCTCCTTCTGTATGAATTCATATCTCATTAATGCACATTACTGACTTTGCTTCTTCCCCGTAGTCTTTCTCTCCTCATAGGTTTCCATGGATCGTGGTTATATCTGGACCCTGGTCCTTCCTCCTGCATTGGTCCTGATAATCAGCCATATTGTTAGATTGATGCATGTAAATATATTGACTAGAGAGAGTTGTACTTTACACTGATATTTATTTCTCTCCTCTACGTAAAATCAATCAATACAACAATGCATTTCCAAAGTTTATATTTTGTACTGAATGTCAGATCAGAGTATATTCTAAATAGAATATAGATAAATACACAAAATAATCCATGGAGACAAATAAGAAAGCACGATTTACAGGTTTTCAGTTTTTAATACACTTTTTTATTTTTTTTAAATGGTAAATGGACTGTACTTGTATTTCTCTTTTCTAGTCTTCCGACCACTCAAAGCGCTTTAACACTACATGTCATCATTCACCCATTCATACACTGATGACAGGGCTACCATGCAAGGTGCCACCTGCCCATCAGGACTATCTAACATACATAACCATTCATACACTGTAGGCACAGGGTTAGGGTTAGGTGCTCTACCACCTACCTTGAATGGTAGTGTTTTGAAATGTTTATGTAGAGAACTGTGTGCAGTGTGTTGCACAGACTGCCATGTTGAATTGCAAATTGGATTCAAAGCAGAAAATGTGTTTAGAGCTTTGAGACTTGAGCTGAGGTTTTGCTCTCTGAGTGTCAGTTTCAATAATTGTGCTTTATGTGTCAAATTATTGTGTAAGTAAATAAAAAAATGTGAGAAAACACCTGCAAATAGACAAAGGACAAGCAAGTTAAGAAAGTGTTTGTTCAGTGTTCGTACAATGTCACACAATCATGTTTATTTTTCCTACAAGAATATTTGACTAAAGTTGCCAAAGAGCAAAATGCTGCCGAGATCCTGAGCAGGAGGATTGTATCTGTCTTTGACTCTTGCACTACTGTCTGTTCAAAATACCAAACTCACATTATTAAGTCTGTCTTATGAAATGTGCTATAGAAATAAACTTGACTTCTGTATACGTTACACTGCTAGTAACTGTAATCAATACATCTTGCTTGAACAGTTTTGGAAACAATGGTACAATAGAGGTTAACAGCACAATAAAGATGTCTTCACCACAACTTAACAATAAAAAGACTGCAAAATCTAAAAACCTCAACAATGGACACCTCATTCAGCTACATACAGTAGTTTCCCCATTCAATCACACTATTCTGAAAACTATTAACATTGAAGAAAAGCCTTTCAATGCCAATGGAAGACAGATAGATAGATAGATATGTACTTTATTCATCCTCAGGGGGGAGTTTGTAAAAAGACCACAAAGAAGAGACTTTCCTGAACCGCAGGAAAATAACATGACATTTCAAACCTTCGGCAAAAAACACAAAGAAAACTTCACTGCTGTTTAGATTTTCTTCTCTGTCATAACTTTCTGATTACTTTGAATGTTAAACAACTGAGAAAGAACATTATCAGCAATCAGAACACAGCAAAACCTCCAGCTCCACTGTAGCTGTAGCATATACGATCAGATAAGCCCGACCTGTTACCTGTGCTACCTTTCAAAGGGAAGTGGATCCACGTGAGAGTACAGCACAGCAGTATACCTCCAGGTGCATAATACAAGATTGGGAGAATGTCTCTTGCCTCCACGCAGCCTGTCGACAGCTAGCAGCGAACAATGCTTACATTGCAAATGACAGCAACAGTGCTGAAAGGGCTAACAGCGTTTAGCTGAGGGGGAACTGGAGGGTCGGGACAGCGTTAACAGCTAACTACCCTGTAAGAGCAGTGTGAAGCGGTGGCTGTGAGTTAACCAGTGGGGCACGCTCACATGTACCAACATGCACTAACATGCCCAGACTAGCTTTGATTACATCAAACATAGAGGGAAAGAGACTTGATTATGTGCTCAAGTAGACATTACTACACTATATCTTTACATAAATAACAGTTGTTTGCTGCTATATTTATGCTATAAATGTCGAATTTAGCGCCTTAATGTTTGGAATTATGGCTGTAATCTCATTAATCTCTGTAGCATAGAATTAAACACAGAGGGAGATTGCATAGTGATTATAGCTGATATCTCATCAGTATCAATGACAGAACAATGATGCAGCATCATTTTCTGGATGCAAATTGTAAGAGTGTTTTGGATAAGAGATGCTGAGTGGGCATGTCCTATGTGAATGCAGCAGTGCCTTTGCTTCATAATTGAGATGTAAAGAATGAGATTTTATAATGTGAAACACTGCCACATCAACTGAACAAATGTAATAATCTGATCAATCCGGCACTGCCTAAATGAAACAGATGGTGTTGTGTAGGAATGTCTGAAGAGACAAGAGAGAAGGATGGAACGTCTGAGAGAGAGGCCATATCAACTGACACATGAATCATTACTCATATACAGTGTTGTTTATGTTAGTGGTCAATATGACTTCCTTCTACTGCCAAATATTTGCCTATTGGTTCACCCCTCATTCCAACAAGGAAAACCTCAAAACACACACACACACACACACACACATACATACACTTTAATGAAGAAGTTTGTCAATCGTGATATTTTGCACCAGCTGTTGTATGTCATGCTGTCCCATGATCAAATAGAGACTTGGCTATGGGCAACATCATACATATTACCTAGCAATCATTGCATATCTGTATATAACAAAAGTACCAAAGAAAGAAAATATTAATTTAAGCTCAGTTGGTTACGGTATAGTTTGTTACGCCCCACCCTTATAGCAGCCCTTTGTGGCGAACAACACTCTATCACTGACCCAAATCCACCAAAGAAGACACCTTCAAAACAATCAAATCCATGAGTTTTATTAACATGAAAACTTAAAAAACAAGACAGTACATAATCCTAGGCTAAGAGGCAGCAAGAGCATCAGTCCTTAGGCTAGAGGCCTCGCCCTTCTGCTGCCGGGACCGGAGCTTTTCAGCACTTCCTCTCAAGGGCAGGGGCAGCTACACCAGGGCAGAGTTACTGGAGAGGGTAGAGGTACAACAGCACAGGGAACGCATGCAGCCTTGATAATGTAGATAAGTGTATTTGTGGTAGATTACTACTCACTATTTTACCCAAATAAAAACTGAAAACCATTACCGAGAGGGGTATGACCTTTTGATGGCAACATTTTTATTGCAACCACACTGCCAGCACTGTCTGTATTTATGCCCCTGCAGAGTCTCCTGGGGGGGGGGGGGGGGATACCTGGACCAGAGAAATGTGGATGAATATAATCAATGCACACAGTCCTGCAAACACAAGCGGCATGAAAAAGTTCCAAAACTACAATCCAAATTAGATTGTCCCCAATCAGGTATTTGTCTTTTTACTTGAGGGATTTCTTCACAGCCACTATTGACAGGAGGACACTTTGCAGTGACCAATAACATGTTCAATCTCCACATAGAGATGTAAGTATAATGTTTAAAGACTGCCTGGAAAAAATGTGAACCTGTCCTTCAAAGCTGTGATGGGCACCCTGCAGTAGCGTAAGGTATTTGGACCCCAGTAGACACTACTATTACGGGCCCCAGTGGACACTACTATTACGGACCCCAGTGGACACTACTATTACGGGCCCCAGTGGACACTACTGTGACGGGCCCCAGTGGACACTACTGTTACAGGCCCCAGTGGACACTACTGTGACGGGTTAGGGGCTTGAGGGTTTTTAATTCTGGTGCTGGGAACCAGCACCACCTCACACCATCACTACCTCACGCTAGGACACTCCTTGCTCTCACTGATGCCATTTCTTATGTGTGTTGTTCTTTTCTTTCTCATATTTCTTGTTGCAGTTCTGGTTTTCCGGCCCGTGTCGGATTACGGCTTGTTGCCGCTAAAGGTGCCGCCGACCTCCGCCTTGATACTTCTAAGGAAGCGCTTCAAGTACCCCCTGAGCCTCAACGCACCAAAGAGGGTGCTGGTGGCAGCTCCTCCACATGCCCCAAGAAGGTGCAGATTCTGTGAAAGCGGATCAGCTGGGACTTGATGAGACCTCTGTACATGTGCTCGGGGTGGTAGCTGGACTTGTGAAGGAGTGCGTAGCGGTCAGTGTCC